GTTTTGTTATGTTGCCTTCTGGTTATTAATCTATGATGCTTTAGATGTCTAGTTGTAATACTCTATGCCCTGTGAAGCTGTTTGCTATCCACATTGGTTCCGAATTCTGATTTTGGGTATCTAATTTGTTTTCCCTTTATGCAACCTATGATTATATTATTACAGTGAAGATTACTCTTTTCTATACTTCATCCACCTTATTTTGTTATTTGGTTTTCCCTATATTTTGTAGGGTACTCAGCAGCAGATCATTTCTTTATTGATGGCTTACATTTTTCATGCAACGACACATATTGCGGTTGACGTTCGGATCATGGCATTTAATTTCTTAAGCCTTGTTATCGAGTTTCATCCTCCTTCCTTTTCCTCTTATGCAGAAAAAGTGATATTATGTGTCCATTTTGTAAATTTTCTTTTAACATTATGTTAGAATTGCCCCTTTGGATCCATTGGCAATAGCAGTAGTTGTGGTCTCCTCTCAATTGCTGATGCTCTCGTAAATGGATTTTGCATCGACCTTTCTCTTGATGAAGCTTTTATTATTAGATAGTTTCATGCAAGGGCTCTTTAAATTTTAAAGTATTTTCTGTGCTAAAATTTTGCCTAACAATAAGGAGAGAAACATTAGCTCATGCTTCAATATATATCTAGAAGTAAAAACCATTTTTGGTCCCTGGCAATATCTACGAAATCCTTTTTAGTTCCTGGCAATAAAAAAAGACCAAATTGGTCCCTAAAAGTATGAAAAAAGGGCCACGTTAGTGATGGGGGAGTTGACATAAGGACTAACGTGGCCCCTTTTTTCATAATTTTAGGGACCAATTTGGTCCTTTTTTATTGCCAGGGACTAAAAAGGATTTCGTAGATATTGCCAGGGACCAAAAATGGTGTTTACTCTATATCTAGATTTGATTGAACTTTTTGACAAAAGCTTAAAACTTGAGGGGAATTATTATTTTCAATATCTTTTTATTATGAGTAAATACCCTTTTTGGTCCCTAACAAAAACACGGTTCCCACTTTAGTCCCTTACAAAAAAAATTAGTCTCGAGGTCCCTAAGAAATTTAAAGTGGGCCTATTTTGTTGAAATCGTGGTCAGTGTTGTTAAAACGTAATGTCGAAATGTAAAAACGGACCGTGTCTACGTTTTTATGACCAAAATCGAGTCAAAATGGTAGTTGAAACGGATTTTGAGCCGAAACGGTTCAAACGTAGTGTCGAAACGTAATATGAATTTTTTTTTGCATAGTTCAAATATATATAACACGTAATAATAATAAAAAATATATATATTTTTAGTCATTAATTAGTTTAAATTTAATAACTTATATAATTAATACATTAAAATTATTCTATATAAATTAAAACAAAGATTAAAATTGACATTCTTATAAAATAAACATGTCTGTGGGTTTTGGTTTTATATATGTTGGATATATATTTTATTTTTAATACTTTAGTAAACTCTTACGTTTCGTTTACGTTTTGCGATTTTACGTTTTTGCTCACCTCTACTGTTTTTACATAGACTCTACGTTTTAACAACATTGATCGTGATCCCTCACAAATTCAAAAAAGATCCAAATTAGTTCTTCAACAGGACTAAAATGGGTCCACTTTGAATTTCATAGGGACCAATCGACTAATTTTTTTTGTAAGGAACTGAAATGAGAATCGTGTTATTTATTAGGGACCCAAAAATGTATTTACTCTTTTATTATTCTTATTTTGAATTCAAGAGGGCGATTATGAAGCAGCGGTAAAGCTGCTCGTTTGTGAGTGATTTGTCATGCGTTCGAATTTGAGAAAGAACTTTTGCGCAAATATATACGGATAAACCTACCTACAAGAAGTCAAGAATTACCTTCAGCCCTACCATCACTAGTCGGGGTTTAATGGGGTGTTATTTGTTCTTATTTTTAATTCCCACAGATTTGAGAGTGCGTCTTAAAGAATATTGCCTCAATTTATTTCATAGTTGTGTTGGCGAAATGAACACTATGATTGTAATTCTTTTTCCCATGGTTTTTCATAATTGATTTCTGTGCCAGATTCTTTTTATCTATTTCCTTGTCTGTAATTTTATTCTATTCTTTAAACCGTTCCTGCTTTTGAGTTTGTATCGTTCCTATATTTTTATTTGTCATATTTCTGTATTTGGGGTTTAGAATTCTCTGTAATGTTGGTTGCATGGTTAACAGATTTTTCAGAATTATGAGGATATTCTAAAGAAGAACCAGTACTATTTACAGGACAAAGGAAAACTAAAAGATTTTCTTGATGGGTTAGTTCGCTGTTTGATGCTCCTCCACTGGAATAAAGGAGAAACTGGTTTGCATAATAAGGTACCATGTTTTCATTTAAATGTGAATGCGCTGGTGAGTCTTTTTAAGCTTTGGTAATTCTATGCATGATACAAGCCTCTTTTGGCATTTTGGCAATCTCTATCATTTGTCATTTTATTTCCTCTTAGCAACTTTATGCTTTAACTGTTTGAATTATGTGCATCTGGAAATTTTATCTTTTGCTCAGGAAGCATTTACTACTTTACAATCTTTTGCTCAAATCATAATAAACATTACTAGCTGGATAACTATATGAACTGTAAGTAGCGTGGGAGTTATGATTAAATTCATGGCTTTTCAGGCCCTGGTAGGTTTCTGTTGTGTGAAACATCTGAAACTCCTTGCTTTATTTTCCCATTGATTTATGCAGGCTTCATTTTGCCTTCTCGAATTTATTTCTAATCCTTTCTCCTATTTTTATAGGATGATAGGGGACGAAGGGTACTGCATGCTTATGAAGATCATAAGTCTATGAGCTATAATAATGGTATGTTAACTTCAAAATATATTTTAGATTTTGAATGAAATATCTAATTGACTGGTGTTGTATGAGTATGCATAATTTTCAAATATGTAAAAGGTTTGGTTAAACTTTTATGTTCTTGATAATTATTTGACTGACCAGTTATGTGCTTTATCTGTTTGTGTAGATTTTTCTCATATCATACAGAAACTGAAGGTTCTAGTGTCATTGTTAATAAATGTTTTCACGGAATTTATTCGATCAGTTAATGCTTTGGCAAGTCTTGAAGGGAAGTCCTTTGGTTGTCTGGCATTCATTCTTCACAGCATAGATCTTATAGTGAGGTCATTTGTGTATTGGACTCATAAGAAGTCAAAATTCCCCATTTTTCAAGCTGAACCCGATGTGGATGTATGGGATGTTACTATTTCTTCTGTATTCTTGAAGAAATTAAATCCTCTTTTTCCTCTCAATCCAGTGCATCATCTCTCGGAAAAGGTATTTAGATATAAAATCATTCATGCGCTTTTCCTAATAGTCTAACCTTTTGGGATTGTTAGTTCATGACATGGTATTAGAGCTTTTATGACCAAGTGGTCTATGGTTTGATCCTTATCATTCCAATTCTTCTACCAAAAAAGATTTTGAATTTTAGCACACGATAGGTGGGTTTATGCATTGTTAACGCTTCAAACCCCGAAGGGTTCTTACACGAGGGGCCATGTCAGAGTTTAAGATGTAATATAAAATCATTTGTAAAATGTAAACAACCTCTCTAGGTAGACAGTATCACACAATTGCGTAAGTGAAAAGATAAAGACTAAAGAAGATAAAGCCGAAGCATAACTAAATGTTTACAGTAAAGATCTGGACCATGTATCCCAGGGCCTAGTTTGTTAAAAAATAAATAAATTCAGGTTACACCTATAAATTAGTCTGTGGTGGGTTACCCTTTTTCTATTGTGTTATAGAGATCGTCTTCCTTTTGGCACACTAGATGGGGAGCAGCAGGACTATGATACTTTTTTTTTTTTTTTTTGTATAACGACTATGATATTCTTCTAATTTCAAATAAACTAATTATTTCTTCGTATGCTTTGCAGGATTATGATAGGTTTCTTCACTTGAACATGGTCATTGCAAAAATATTTTTTGAATTAAATGAATGGATTTGTCTTCCTCCTGATTTGATGGAGAAATTTCTAGAATTCATTGAAAATGCTCTCCTTGGGAAGGTTTGAAATATACACCAATAAAGTCCTTTTAACGTTTAAGTTTAATAAAGTTTAAAATAATGGTCATTCTACATCTGTATTTGACTGGAATTGTTTGTATGCAGCTCTGCATGGCTAAACAATGTGGTACTGCTGTTTGGGAAAAGCGTCTAGTTCAGCTCCTTCCTTTCATTCCAAATTTTGTTTTTCATGGGGAAACCAATTGGACATCTCGTCTTCTTAAGGTTTGACTGGCTACATGATTTCTGAATATTAATTTATTTTTTATTGGATATTCAGATTCTCTAAACATCAGGTGACATTTGGTTTATTTTTTGTTTACATTTTGAATTGATATGTTTTCATTTATGATTACAAAGTTGTAACATGTTTTCACATTGTTTGCTGCTCCCAAGATGTTAAGGAAATGGTGAAAATAACTTGTTTACACCATTTCAATTTCAAATACTTGAGGAAAAAACTGTGTGAGAATAAGGTGGCATTTTCTTGATTATTGGTGACTACATATCAACTGAAAATGAAAACAGAAAATAAATAAAAAATGACCTTAATTTTTTGGTTTCATATTTTCTAGTACTATGTTTATGTTTTTTTATATATTTATTTTCTGTAGAAGTTCCCAAGTTGTTAATGTAACATGGAATTTGTGGCCCTTGCAGGCATTTACCCACACATTCAGGGAAAGCAAGCCAGATTCCTCATTGAAATTGGCCTGTGTTTCTGCAATTGAAGATATGCTAAAGCGTTACATCTCTATTGTAAATTCTAGAATTATATAGAATTATTTTTATTATTTTGTAATTCTGTAATAGTCAGTGTTTGTGCTTAGCCCATTAGGTTTCTTTATTCTCTTTAAATAGAGAACTCTTGTACAGATAATTTACAACTTTATAATACAAAAATATTTCTTTCAATTTGGTATCAGAGCTCTCAGATCTTGAAGGCTCTGCTTCCGCATCTATCATCTTTTCAAAGAAAAAAGAGAATCCTTATATTCTGCCTCTCGCTGCCATTAGCCGCCGTCGGAAAATATTTCCGAGGGACCTTTTGGACCGAGAGGATCACCGTTTGACGTTCCAATCACTGTCATCGTGAGATTCCACTGTTCACCGCCGTTGACCGTCGTTGACCACCGTCTCCGACGAGTTTTTCGGCGATCTACCCACGGCTGTGACCGCCACAACGAGGCGAACTCCTCTGTCCAGGACCCACTTTGAGATCCTGTCCGACGCTCCCTCACGCGCGTGGAAGAGACGCGCCGTTCCCGGAGTTGCAGTGGCGCGTGACGGCACGTGGTACATCCCCTTCACGTGCGGCCAGTGCAGACCAGCTCGCCTCCTCCTTCTGAGTGTGGATATGTGATTATTTTGGTTTTTTGACTCCGTTGCAGCCTTCCCAAGGTGATTTTTCATCTCTTTATTACTGTTCCTGCACCTTGTTACTGTTCCGGCCATCTTTGGTGACATTGGACCTTTATAGTTCTGATCGGTCAGTTTAAAAAAAATTAAAAAAAAATAATAATAATAATTTTATGTCTGACGTTGAAGATAATCCGAAAATTCAGCCTGATAGTCCGATAATTCAGCCATCTGCTACATCCTCTATGGCTGCTTCTCTTAGTCCAAACGATCTGCCTACTCTCCATCAAATTATCGTCTCAATGGAAAAAATTATTTGTAGTGGTCTCAGCTGGTTCGTACAATTCTCAAAGGGCGTCGTAAGATTGCTCATCTTGAAGGACCTGTTATTGCCAAAACAGATCCAAAATTTGCTGATTGGGATGATGAAGACTCCCTTATTATGACATGGCTATAGAATTATATGACTCCTGAAGTTAGTCAATATTGTATGTTCTTACCTACTGCTTTTGAGATCTGGAAAATTCTTCATCAGACCAATTCAATGAAACAAGATGCTGCCACTTCCTATGATCTAAGGAACAAGATTTTTTCTACCAAGCAGGGCTCTTTATCTGTGACAGAGTATTATGGAAATCTGAATGGATTATGGACTGAGCTAGATCAGTATGATAGCTTGCAGATGGAGTGCAGCAAGGATGCAGCCACTCTGGCTTCCTCTGTTGAACGGCATCGGATCTTTGACTTTCTTTGTGGCCTCAATTCAGAATATGACCCTATTCGAGTTCAAATCCTTGGTAAGGAAAAATTACCTTCTCTTTTTGAAGTTTTTCATACTGTCAGGAGTGAAGAAAGTCGTAGGAATGTCATGATGGACATCAAGATGTCTGAAGGATCTGTCATGATCTCATCTAAAGTCACTACTTCAACTGCTTCTGACGAGTCCGCTATGATCTCAGCTAAGTCTCAGGGGTCTCCTTTCTTTAAGTCACCTCAGGGGTCTTCTTCCTTTAAGTCCAACAAAGAGGGACGTTGGTGCAATTACTGTAAAAGACCAGGTCACACAAAAGATGTTTGCTACCGTCTTCATGGGAGGCAACAGGTTTTAGAGAAGCTTGGTAGGCCACCTTCACGTGAAGATTTGAGACGTGGTCAATCTTTCTTGACCCCTTCAGACATTCCTCCAGTGAATGAGACACAAATGCCTGGTGAGTTTACTATTGTTCGTCGTGAGGAATTGGAACGGCTCAGGTCCGTATATGACTCCCTCAATAAAACTTCTGGTACTGGTACTCTGGCCATGACTGGTAAGAACTCATGCACTCATTCTTTTATCGCTTCTTGTACTGATTTCAAAACTTCATGGATTGTGGATTCTGGTGCTACTGATCATATGACTTGCTGCAAAGATCTTTTTCTTTCTTATAATCCTACTGTTGGTCTCCGTACTATAGCCGTAGCTGATGAATCACACACATCAGTTGCAGGTTCTGGCAATATTAAAATCCAACCATCCTTGTGTCTCAAAAATGCTCTCCATGTTCTCCGCCTATCTACCAATCTCCTTTCTACTCATAAGCTTACTACAGATTTGAATTGCACTGTAACCTTTTTCCCTACTCATTGTTTATTTCAGGATCTCGCCACGGGGAAGACGATTGGAGTTGCTAAGGAGCAGGGTGGGTTGTATCATTTGGTTCCAGATTTTGCTGCAGAAGGTACTGGGGATCAGACTTTGATGACTCATCAGCCTACATCAGATTTTCTCATTTGGCTTCATCACAAACGCTTGGGTCATCCTTCTTTTAGTTTACTTAAGTCTATGTTTCCGTCTTTGTTTGTGTCGCAGTCTGTTGCGTCTTTTAATTGTGATGTCTGTCAATTTGCAAAACATCATCATGTACCTTTTCCTTCTAGTGAAATAAAAAGTGTTGAACCTTTTACCATTATTCATACTGATGTTTGGGGACCTTCCAAGGTACCTAATGTTTCTGGTGCCAAGTGGTTTGTTTCTTTTATTGATGATTATACTCGGACTACATGAATCTTCTTAATGAAAGATAAGACAGAAGTAACACAATTGTTTATCCAGTTTTATTATATGATTGAAACTCAGTTTGGTAAACGTATCAAACGCTTGAGATCAGATAATGGTACCGAATATGTTAATCAACATCTTTCTCAGTTTCTTAAAGACAAAGGAATGGTTCATGAACTCACATGCGTAGATACCCCTCAACAAAATGGGGTTGCTGAACGGAAAAATAGACATTTGCTTGAAGTCACCAGAGCATTATTGTTTCAAACATCTGTGCCCAACTCTTACTGGGGCGAAGCTGTATTAACTGCAGCTTACTTGATCAACCGCTTACCTTCCAGAATCCTTGGCCATGTAAGTCCTGTTGATCTAATGACCTCTTTTTTTCCTTCTGTCCCAATTATGCAGAGTCTCCAGTCTCGTATCTTTGGATGCGTTGTCTTTGTTCATGTCCATAAACAACATCGGAGTAAATTAGAGCCTAGAGCCCTTAAGTGTGTCTTCCTTGGTTATGCTCCCAACAAGAAAGGATACAAATGTTATCATCCTCCGAGTTGTAAATTCTTTGTGTCTATGGATGTTAGCTTTCATGAATCTGAGCCATACTTTCTGCCTCCTCAGCTTCAGGGGGAGAACAATATTGAAGCTCCTTCAAATTTCTTTGAGTCTGAGTCTTCCCTTCCGTTACCTCTGAGTCCTAACCCAATGGTTACACCATATGACAATGCGAAGGAAGACTTAGTTGATGAGGCTGAAAATTCATCTGATTCCTCTTGTGATATGCCTCCAATTGATCGACAGAAAGTACGCAAAGCTGGGACACCTAAACTATTTTACCAAAGGAAGAGACAACCCACACTGTCCCACCAGCAACTGCAGTCGCCTGAACCGCTGGTAAGTACTGAAAACACTACTTCTGTTGTTCCTGAGCATGATATTGATTCTGTTGACTTACCCATTGCTGTAAGAAAAGGGAAAAGGTCTTGTACCCAACACCCTATTTCTCATTTTGTCTCCTCTAAGAATCTCTCTATGCAGCATAGACGCTTTGTTACAGCACTTGACTCCATTTCAATCCCAGAATCAGTACATGAAGCATTAAAGGATGACAATTGGGTTCAAGCCATGAATGATGAGATGAATGCATTAGAGAAGAATAATACATGGGAAGTCGTTGACAGGCCAAAGGGAAAAAAGGCAGTAGGATGCAGATGGGTATATACTCCGAAATATAATTCTGATGGGACTCTTGAAAGATATAAAGCTCGACTAGTTGCCAAGGGATACACACAGACCTATGGCATTGATTACGAAGAAACATTTGCTCCAGTGGCCAAAATGAACACTGTAAGAGTTCTATTGTCCCTTGCTGCTCATTCTAATTGGGATTTGAGACAATTTCATGTAAAAAATGCCTTCCTCAATGGCGAATTAGAAGAAGAGGTTTACATGGAGATTCCACCAGGATTTAACTCCACAAATGGAGAAAACAAAGTTTGCAGGTTAAAGAAGGCATTGTATGGCTTGACGCAATCCCCGCGTGCTTGGTTTGGAAGATTTACAAAAGTTATGCTTTCATTGGGGTACAGACAAAGTCAAGGAGATCATACACTTTTCTTTAAACATTCTCAAGAAGGTAAGCTCACTATCTTCTTGTTTATGTTGATGACATTATTATAACAGGGGATGATATAGACGAGAAGCATGCTCTGCAAGAAAGATTGACTGCTGAATTTGAAGTTAAAGACCTTGAAAAACTGAGGTATTTTCTTGGGACAGAAGTTGTTCATTCAAAGCAAGGTATCTTTATTTGTCAACGAAAGTATGTTCTTGATCTCCTTAAAGAAACAGGAAAACTTGGGTGTAAACCTTCCAGTACTCCAATTGAGCAGAATCACAAACTAGGGAGTGAGAATGAGAGTCCTTCAATTGACAAAGGACAGTACCAACGTATAGTGGGGAGATTGATATACCTTGCTCACACTAGACCTGATCTAGCTTATGCAGTCAGTATTGTTAGTCAATTCATGCATGATCCGAGGGAAAAACATCTGCAGGCTGTGGATAGGATTCTCCAATATCTAAAAGGCACACCAGGCAGAGGACTATTATTCCAGAGAGGAGGAAACTTATCCTTAGAAATGTATACAGACGCAGATTATGCTGGATCCGTAACTGACCGACGGTCTACCTCAGGCTATTGTATGTTTCTCTATGGAAATCTCATAACATGGAGAAGTAAAAAGCAAAATGTGGTTGCTAGGTCGAGTGCAGAAGCAGAATTTCGAGCCATGGCTCAAGGTATCTGTGAGTTATTATGGCTGAAAATCATTCTAGATGATCTAAATGTGAGGTGTGAAGGGCCTTTGAAGTTACTCTGTGATAACAAGTCAGCTATCTGTATAGCCCACAATCCAGTCCAACATGACCACACCAAACATATTGAGATTGATCGCCACTTCATCAAGGAGAAGCTGGATAGTGGACTAATCACTACATATATTCCATCTAGTTGTCAATTGGCTGATGTCTTGACTAAAGGTCTTCGTAGTGATAGGTTTCAAGAGCTTATTAGCAAGCTGAGAATGATTAATATCCATTCCTCAGCTTGAGGGGGAGTATTGTAAATTCTGGAATTATATAGAATTATTTTTATTATTTTGTAATTCTGTAATAGTCAGTATTTGGGCTTAGCCCATTAGGTTTCTTTATTCTCTTTAAATAGAGAACTCTTGTACAGATAATTTACAACTTTATAATACAAAAATATTTCTTTCAATTATCTCTGCATCCCTTAAGGTAAGAAACACCAATAATGCGGTAAGGGGAAAATGTAAAGTGACAGAAAATGAAAGAAAGGGAATATATTATTGATGAATGTTCAAAGAATAAGTTAAAGGGTAATAAGAAAATTTTTCCCTTCACATTGAGAATACCTCAATCAACAATCAAATCTCCAAAAAAGCATCCGTCAATAGGGACTGTTTCCCTTGTATACACTAACTATACCATGTCTAGGTTTTACCTCCGTTAGTGGCAATTATGAATAGCTACGAACGACCTTGGGCTCTAATTAATGCACTCAACAAAATTAACTACTGCCTTGGGTATATTATTGTGGGAATATACTTTCCACGTTGTTGGTTGCTCCCCCCTTCCTAATTGCAGTTGTAGTATAACTCATGTAAGTTTGGCTTCATCTCTATCCCCAAGACGTCCTTGAAGTTCTTGACTCTTGGATAATCTTATGAAAAACTATTCATACCCCTCCTTTCTCGTTTTCAAATTTAAATATATATTTTTTACTTTGGTTCAAATCTAGGTCACAAACACACATTCCCTCGAGAGTACAGAAAATTCAGAATTTGTTGATGCTTTACTTGCATGGACAAGAGAGCTCCCTCTCTTACTGATCCAGCTTAGTGATAATCACCCAGTCTGCTCCAAGGTAATTGTTATTTTAATTTGAAAAGCAGTTCTTTATGTGAAATTCCTTAGCCTGACAGAATTTGTAGAGATTTTAGTGTGTTTTTGCATTTATTTTATCTTAAATCTCCAATTCTGTATCATCTTGTCCATGAAATGTTCATTTCTCCATTACAGGCTGTATTGCACCTTCTACTCTGCATTGGACAAAGTGCTCCAGTGCATCAATCACTTGTTTGCACATATGACAACTTGCAGTCTTCGTTGCTAGATTTTTATAGTACTTGCCAAGGAGGTAAACATGAACATGTTGGCATCATTATTAATGGAACACTAATCACATGGTTATTTTTTGGCCCCTTATTGCATTGCGTTTTCATCTTGCAGGACATATATGCTGTGGTCCTTTTCTCAGGCTTCCTAGAGAATCTCAAGAGCTCTCTCTGTGTTGTGTTTCCTATTTCTCTCATTTGGACTTGCCTCTTTTAAAGTCAATGGCTTGTTGTTGCCTAAGTAAGCCTTTCATGCTTGTTTAAAATTTCTACTTGGTTTCTTGTTTTTTTTTGGTTTACCATATCCCTTTACTTAATATTTTGACTGTTATCTTTAGCATAATTGATGTTGAATATTTTTAAATTTTATAATGATACATGGTGGTGACTGGTGAGTTATTAAAAGGCTTACAATTAAAAATAAGCATAAAACTTGAACGAAAAGGCTGTCATTGAATTAATTAAATGTGAGATATAGTTGGTTGAGTAGAATAAATTTCCAACTTTATATTTCATTTTCTTCTAGTTATATCTTCTCTTTTATCCGGGAACATGAGATATAGCATAGAAGTCAAACTGCTTTCATGTATTTTTTGAAAATTACCTTTAGGCTGAGTCCTAAAAAATGACTACTAAAATGTTTCTGTTGTTTCATCAAAAAAGAAAGATTAATACTTGTCTGTCTTGATAAACATTATTTTTTATATATTTTTATGCCTGACGTTAGACAAAAAAGTTGGGACTATTCAAACTAGAAGTTTAAAATGTAGTTTTATATTTGATGAAATCCTGTACGTTGATTTGAAAGCTGGTACTTTTTCGCCCAATGTAATCTTGGCAGCCATAATTTTCATGTGAAAACATTGGGGGAGAGATCCCTAAAAAGATGTTCTGATTTATGAGAAATAAGTGTTCTGGTAAGCTATAACTATGGAGGATGCTTTTGTACACTACTTTTTTCTTACATCCAGCACCCGTACTTTTAATGCCATTTGATTAGGATTCTGATAGGAATATATACATAGGTACATGTAAGTTGGGTAGTAGGGGATTATTGGAGTATGACAAGTTTGTTAGTTAGTATATTCTAGAAGAATTGCTGAGGTGGCAAGGTTGTTAGAAGGAATAAAAGGTGTCGAAAGGTGTGGAGAAGGGGGTAGATTGGAACTTGGGACTTGGGCTGGGATACCAGATTGGGAGAGAATCAGACATAGTAGTTAATTGCGCCGCAATAGCACCGCAAGCCGCGCCGTATGGGCGTTGCGGTGCCTCGCCGCAAGAAACCGTGTCGCGCTGCACCGGAACGCAATAGCGGCCATTGCGATCGCATTTGCGACCATATTGCTATCATAAGACAAGATGTCAATTTTGTCCTAAATTTAAATGTGTAACAGAAAAAATTTAAAGGTTTTTTAGTTTATCTGTGTCTCTCTTTGTCACTTCTGCTATCTCTACCTTTAAAAAATGTTTCTTTTTGTCATTATTTCTATCATATATTTATTCCGCTATTTTCGCAACCGCAACCAGCTATAACGCTATAGCGTTTTTGGGGGTTGGCCGCGACATGCCGCAATCCGCATTTGATAACTATGGAATCAGAGCACTCTCTAATTGCTCTGAAAACCATTTAGCTTTTCTTGTATTTTTTCCTTTATTTCATTACTGTCTCATATTGTTTGTACCTTTTTCCATTGATTAATATACAGAAAATCCAGTTCTTCTTGGCCATTTCTCTTGTTTTAGTTGCGTTTTACTCTGATAATTTGTTAGATCCTATCAATTGGTATCAGAGCACTCCGATCCTAGGGGTGCTTTGAGCAGTTTAATACGCGCCATGGAAAATCGATTCAAGATCATAGAAAAGATGATGAGGATGTATGAAGAGCTGACAGAAGAACGATTCCACAGAACAGAAATTAACAAAGATTGTGCAGCTTCTCCATGATCGTTGTGACAGAGAGAGGATCCGACGAAATGGACGTTCACGGAGGGGAAGGCAAAAGTCCATGGATTCTCATCAAGGAATTCAAGGTTCAGTGGATTCAGAATGGGAAGATGATAGAACCGTGCATCTTTCTGTGATGAATTCTGATGTGAATTTAGAGGCAGAGACAACACTGTTGAAAGAGAAGGAAACCATAGTAAACGATCAGGATGTCGGTTTCGATTGCAGCGAACCAGACAGCAAAGGTCACGATCTAAGGAAGAGCAAGCCTATTAGCCAAGTTCATGGGGTGAAGGATGAGTGGACAGATCCAAAAATCTCTTTGAGGGAACCTGAGACAGAAGCAGATGCGAAGAGAGTGGTGATTGAGGGAGACATAAATGTTAGAGAGGCATTGGTCAAGGAGGGTCGCGAACCAAGTGCACCACAATCACCGGAGGTAGTAAACGATCCACAACCATTACCAAAACCACCTGATTCAAATTTTCGTATGAAGAGTTAAATGTAAAAGAATACGTTGTGTATTGATCTGTGTCAGGGAGTTACAATATATAGAGACCCTAATGGGCTTAAGTGTAAGGCCCAAACCTAATCCAAACCTAATCCTAATACAATCAGAATACAGTCAGACTATTTACGGATAAGACAGAATCCAATCATATCTAATCAAATCTAATCATATCATATCTAATATTCTAACACTCCCCCTCAAGCTGGTGCGTATATATTATGAGCACCAAGCTTGTTACAAATGTATTCAACCCGAGGACCTCTAAGAGCTTTAGTGAAAACATCTGCTAGTTGATTAGACGAGTTGACAAAAGCTGTCTTGATTTCTCCTGACTGAATCTTTTCCCGAATGAAGTGACAATCAATCTCTATATGTTTGGTCCTCTCATGAAAAACAGGATTAGAGGATATATGTAGCGCAGCTTGATTATCTCAGATGAGTGTCATGGGTTGTTTCTGTTCACAAAGATGAAGCTCCTGAATCAACTGCTTTAACCAGATCAACTCACAGGTAGTATTTGCCATTGCACGATACTCAGCTTCTGCACTAGATCGGGAAACAACAGGTTGTTTCTTGCTTTTCCATGAGATTAAGTTTCCTCCGAAGAAGACACAATAACCAGAAGTAGAGCGTCTGTCCGAGGGTGATCCTGCCCAATCGGCATCTGAGTAACCACAAATTTCTGTATTTCCCTGATCCGAATACAACAAACCTTTTCCTGGTGCTCCTTTGATGTATCGGAGGATCCTCACAACAGTATCCCAATGTGAATCACAAGGGGAATCAAGGAACTGACTGGCCGTACTGACAGCGAAAGAAATATCTGGCCTAGTCACAGTAAGATAATTGAGCTTCCCAATCAGCCTTCGATAACGTCCAGGATCAGATAACGGCTCCCCCTGTCTGGGCAATAACTTAACATTAGGATCCATGGGTGTATCAACTGGTTTACACCCCAACATACCAGTCTCCTCTAGGATATCCAAGGCATACTTCCTTTGACAGATAGAAATGCCCTGTCTAGATTGCGCCACCTCAATTCCCAAGAAGTAACGCAGCTTCCCAAGGTCCTTTGTTTGAAATGCACTGAATAAATGTTGTTTTAACTGATGGATTCTGTCTTGATCACTTCCGGTGAGGATGATGTCATCAACATAAACTAACAAATAGATGCACTTGTTAGGAGATGTAATCCTATAGAATACAGAATGGTCAACTTTACTGCGAATTAGGCCAAACGCCTGTACAGCAGAACTGAAGCGACTGAACCATGCTCGAGGAGACTGCTTGAGACCATATAAGGATTTTCGAAGACGACATACCTTCCCAGACTCCCCCTGAGCAACAAAACCAGGTGGTTGCTCCATGTAAACTTCTTCGGTAAATCACCATGAAGAAAGGCATTTTTGATGTCAAGTTGAAGGAGTGGCCAGTGACGAACAGCAGCAAGGGCAAGAAATAGGCGGACGGACGCCATCTTAGCGACTGGAGAGAATGTATCGCTATAATCAAGGCCAAAGATTTGAGTAAAACCCTTGGCAACTAGGCGTGCCTTGAGACGATCAACATGGCCATCAGGTCCAACTTTCACAGTAAACACCCAGCGACAACCAACTATAGACTTCTCTGGAGGAGTAGAAACAAGGTCCCAAGTGCCATTGGTATGAAGTGCGGTCATCTCATCAAGCATCGCTTGGCGCCATCCTGGATGGGAAAGTGCTTCACCTGTGGTCTTAGGAATAGAAACAGAAGAAAGACTAGAAACAAAGGTGAAATGAGGAGGAGAAAGACGATCATAGCTCAAGAAGGTATAAAGAAGATAAGGGTTACGAGTAGTACGTGTACCTTTTCTTTGAGCAATGGGAAGAGCCTCTGGTGAAGGATCCGGAGGGGAAGAATCAACTGCAGAGGGCAATGAGTCAGCAGGGGTCGAGTCGACTGGAGGTACTGTCTTACGACGCTGATAAGTGAGAAGTGGACGGTCCTTAGGTACTGGAGCAATAGGTGATTGCTTATCTAGAGTAGAAGCACCTGCATCTGGCAAAGACAAGTCAAGAAAAGGAACAGGAAGAACATGATCAACCTGTGACAATGGAGATGGGATAGAATTAAAGGGTTGTTGATAAAAAAAGGTGACATCCGCGGAAACTAAGTAACGCTTGAGGTCAGGAGAGTAACAGCGATAACCCTTTTGAAGACGAGAATAACCAAGAAAAATGCATTTAAAGGCTTTGGATGTTAACTTATCCTTACCAGGAGTGAGATCATGAACAAAACAGGTACAACCAAAAACATGTGGGGATAGAGGAAAGAGAGGAACATCTGGAAACAATAAGTTATGAGGAATATCATTATTAAACACAGATGAAGGCATGCGGTTGATGAGAAAGCAAGAAGCAAGGACTGCATCAGCCCAGAAGTGAAGAGGAACATGCATGTGAATAAGAAGAGTCCTGGCAATCTCAATGAGATGTCTATTCTTACGTTCAGCTACTCCATTTTGTTGTGGAGTGTGAGGACAAGTGGTTTGGTGTAAAGTACCCTGTGTGGCTAAGAAGTGAGAAAAGTCAACAGAAACATACTCCTTAGCATTATCACTACGTAAAATACGAATAGAAGCACCAAATTGAGTATGAATTTCAGCAGAAAACTTTTGATAAATAGAAAACAACTCAGAACGATTTTTCATTAAATAAATCCAAGTACAACGGGAGAAATCATCAATAAAGGTGACAAAATACCGAAAACCTAAAATAGACACACTACGACTAGGACCCCAAACATCTGAATGAATAATTGAAAAAGGAGCATCAGCTCGTTTATTGACTCGATTAGCAAAGGAGGAGCGTATGTGCTTTCCTTGCTGACATGACTGACAATCTAAAGTTTGAAGACCGGATAAAAGAGGAACCATCTTCTGCAATTTCGCAAGACTAGGATGCCCGAGACGACTGTGGATGAGCTGTGGAGATTCTGTGAGAGAACAAGCAACTGAAGGACTCGACACATCAAGGTAGAACAGACCCCGTGATTCACGGCCCACTCCAATCATCTTCCCCGTTCCCGGGTCCTGCACAGAAACAGAATGGTTTGAGAATGTGACAATACAATTAAGAGAATTGATCAATTTACTAATCGATATTAAATTATAAGGGATGTGAGGAATGTAATAGACAGATGTCAAGGTCAATGAGGAGGTTGGACAGATTTGTCCAATCCCATGAACGGGGGCCTTAGTTCCATCAGCAAGAGTAAAAGAGGGTAAATTATTAGAATATGTAAGGGAAGAAAAGAGTTCCTTATTACCACAGAGGTGATCAGTAGCACCTGAGTCAAATATCCAAGGACCAAGTGATGCAGAATGAGAAACACAAGCAACAGGATTACCAGTTTCTGAAGCAGAGGCCTGAGATTGAGGAGAGGACTTCCTGAGAAGGGCCTGGAATGCTGCATATTCTTCAGAGGAGAGAGAGACTGAACCATTTGAAGCAGTATCCGATTGAGCTACATTAGCAGCAAAAGAAGGTCGCATGTGAGGATACTTGGTGTAGCAGCGTTCCTCATAATGACCAAGTTGCTGACAGTAATGACAACGAGGTCGCTGACCACGTCCGACTGGACCTCCTGGGCTACGTCCTCCTGGGCCCCGGCCTCCTGGGCCTCTACCACGACCACGTCCACCTCCAATATGCCCGCGAAAATCAGTACGGGAAACTAGAGCAGTAAAATCAACAGCAGAAGACGATGCAGGAGCAGATTTCTTATTCAAATTCAGAAGACGCTGATACGTCATGGATAGATCAGGCTCCCCACTAGTCAAGATAGTATCACGAACATTATCATATTCTTCGGGAAGGCCAGAAAGTGTGGCAACCATAAAGAGACGTTCCACCTGTTTCCGATATGCAGTAGCATCAGTAGGGTAAGGCAGCATATCCAAATATGCCTGCATCAAAGAGCGACTCTTGCCAATATATGTCTCCATCTGAATGTCGGATGATTTGCTCAATTCCATAAACTGAGAGATGATGAAATAGAGCTGCTGAACATCATTAGTGTAGAGGTTTTTTGCTTCCTCCCACACTTCAATGCAAGTTTGAAATGAATAAAAGATATCCAAGACAATCGGATCAATGGATTGCCAGAGGATACTCAGAAGCTGGTTGTCAATCTTTTCCCAATCAGACTTGTCCTCCTTAGGGACATCAGTAGACTTAGTTGTGAGATGGTTCCCATATCCTTGTCCAAAGAACCAAACTCGAACAGAGGTGGCCCAGTTCTTGTAATTAACAGATCCCTTCAATTTTGAAGAGGTAATGGACCCAATATTGGTAGAGATGATATTGGGAGAATTTCTCAAAGGAGGAGATGAAGACTTGACTCCGAATGAATTGGAGGGTTTGCTGCCATAGTATCAAATCACAAAGATACAAACCGAATAAAGAGAAACGAACCTGATCACCAATCAAGAAGAGGTGCGCACAAAAAGTCAGACCCACAAAGAACCAACCACAGATCCAGAAAGAGGAGGAGAAGACGAGCTTCTCTGTCCAAGACCGGCCGGAAAAAGCTGCCGGAATAGTGCTCACGCGCCGGCAGAAGGTGGCGCGTGAAGCCCACGCGCAGAGAAGACTGGAGGCGCGTGAGAGCGCGTGACAACTCCGATGGTGGCCGGACTTCCACAGAGCAGGTCGCCGGGAGGAGAGGGTTCTGTTCGCGTTCGTTCCAGATTGAAAACTCACCGGAAAAGTACTCCGGCAGCCTGAACAGTGGCTGACGGTGGCTGATGGTGGCTGATGGTGCTCCGGTGACTGTTTGGGGATGTGGACACGTGCAGAAGATGCCTGGAGAGGACTTACAGCCTTTGATGTCTTTACCGGAAGGACGCACGGCAAAGAAAAGATGACTCCTAAGCAGTGGGCTTAGGTTTTAAAACGAAGAACAAGATTTCTAAGCGGAAGCGAGGGTTCCCAGAACGAAATAGCTCTGGTACCAAGTTAAATGTAAAAGAATACGTTGTGTATTGATCTGTGTCAGGGAGTTACAATATATAGAGACCCTAATGGGCTTAAGTGTAAGGCCCAAACCTAATCCTAATACAGTCAGAATACAGTCAAACTATTTACGGATAAGACAAAATCCAATCATATCTAATCAAATCTAATCATATCATATCTAATATTCTAACATGAAGGAAGAGGGTTCTCTACAGCGTAATCTTGGATGGAGGAAAGGACTTCAAAGGATTTTGAAGCAGGAGTATACTAGGTCACAAAAGAGCTTGAATATTTTGGGCCAAGTCAATTGCAAAACAGATCTGGGCCAAGTCAACTGTAAAATGAATCAGGCCCAAATTATTGTCCAATTGCTCAAAGCTTATTATCTGGATGTAGCTATTTGGTATGAGGGTTGGGCTTGGGAACCCATAATCATGCTTTAGACCTTTTCAACCCAAAGGCTATGGAATACTTAATTCTGATGTATTGGAGAAATGGGCTTATAAGCCCATGAATTCATTTGGGCTGAGTGGAAATAAAAAAGGTGGGTTATATCACAAGGTTGCGCAACTCCATTTGCTTCTGGTCAACGAAGGAGAAGGTGGGGGAGAAGAGAATCAGGGTGTACTAGAGGTGCCACAACTGCCGGAGGAGGTGATCCAACCGCCACCATTACCGGAACCGCCGGATTCAAGCCTTAGGCGAAGAAATTCATGACCAGATGAACGATGGGACGGAAGGAGGTCAGCCAACGGGTGAAGGCGTGACTCTGCAATTGTCGCCTGGAAGGACAACCAGCGAATTAGTTGTGACAGAAGCATTATTAAGGCATATTTCATCTTCTAAAGGAAGGGTTATCATAACCCAATTCGCATCAAATCTACATAGGATTGGAAGTATGAAAGACGCTGCTGATGTAATTGGTAGAAGGTTGGTATTTGTTGACATGCCTTTAAGGGCGTATTTAGATGCAGTTTGGAAGGATGGAAAGGCTCCATTTGATCCATCCATTTTGGTGAAAGCAGAGGACATTGATGCTTACGAGGGAAATCATGTAGCGAGTTTAAAGCTTCATGTGCTGCAAAGTTATGATCAAGTTAATGTAAATAAGCAATGGGACCCTGGAGGAAATCACTATGCGTTTGTCATACGTTGCTGTTTACATTTCAAGCAATGGGATCCAGGCATAAGGTTCTTGAGGGCTGAATCTCACCTTGAGGACAAGGTGAGTGTTTTGGGAGGGAGTATTGATAGGAATATATACATAGGTACATGTAAGTTGGGTAGTAGGGGATTATTGGAGTATGACAAGTTTGTTAGTATATTCTAGAAGAATTGCTGAGGTGGCAAGGTTGTTAGAAGGAATAAAAGGTGTGGAGAAGGGGGTAGATTGGAACTTGGGACTTGGGCTGGGAAACCAGATTGGGAGAGAATCAGAGCACTCTCTAATTGCTCTGAAAACCATTTAGCTTTTCTTGTATTTTTTCCTTTATTTCATTACTGTCTCATATTGTTTGTACCTTCTTCCATTGATTAATATACAGAAAATCCAGTTCTTCTGGGCCATTTCTCTTGTGTTAGTTGCGTTTTACTCTGATAATTTGTTAGATCCTATCAGATTCAGATACAAATTTCTGGGTTAAAGCTTATGGATATTAATTTTGATTGTACATATTGCAGGTCCTGATCTAGATCCCCATGCATTATTTTGGACCATTGATGTTCTTGATTCTGCCTATAAAGCTGGACATATAAAAGTTACAGATTTCTTGAATGTCTTCGTCACCCTTGTCTTGCATTTCGAAGTTTCTCCTGGTAGTGTATATAGATTTTATTCTACCACTTATATCTTGCTTCTCGATAGCTGCTAGATTACAATATATATATAGCATTTTTACATGTTGAGGAAAATATCTAGTCATTGATATATATTTGTACCTTGCTTAGGTAGGATGTGTTTGACCATGACCAAGAAAAAGTTAAATTTAGTCATTTAGGATGATTGAATTAGCTATGTTTGTCAATCTTTTTAACCTATCTAGTCTTCCGGCATCAAAAATTTTATTCCCTTTTAATTTTGCAGATTTCTGTTCTGTTAGTTTGAAGAGTGATCCACGCCGCCAAACTTTGAGGTCAATGATAACTAGACTTTCCTCATGCATGGTACAAATGGGTAACAATCCTCTTGTTCTACAGATGATAGAGGGAATAATAGTTCAACAGATAGTAAGTTGAATTAATTGTGTGCTATGTTTTTGAGATTTTTTTTGTATGGAGATTTCTTCTTTGTTTGAGCATTTGTTTTCCCTTGTTACTTTCCTGCTGCTTTTCTTACTGGCTCATCAAGAGACTTTCTAGAAGCATGAGTTCTTATACTGGTATTTTGTGCCACAGGCGCTAAAGCCTTTTTTGGATAAAAGTTGTTCTCTCTTAAGAATGATTTTTGAATTGGATTCCGATTCTGATTTCAAGTCCAAGCCCAAGCCCTCAAGACTTTCTGAGCCAAGCATTACCTTTCTAGGCCATCACCTTTTGGAATATCTGATGGATGCTATGCAGGTGAGCATGCTGTCTAAATTCCTCTCGTAACACGACAAATACATTCCTGAAGCTAAGTTGACGCTTCCCTATTTCACACGTCTCTTTATTTTTTTGGGTGTCCCGGAGTATGTTTACATTAAAAGTAAAATATCTTATAGGCCATATATATTTTTTTCCTTGTGCTTGTTTTTGTTTTGGAAGTCAACATGTTTAGAACATCTTTGAAATATTGATTGACAACTTTTAGAAAGAAATGAGGGATCTTGCAAAATGTCATTGAGACACATTAAAGGAGATTAGGGGAATACTTCCTAAATTCTGCTTGTCTTTTTTTATGAGATTGATTTAGGCGGTTTTTCATTTGTTGGTAATGGTTTTTCGAGTTATCTAACAACAGATATCAACACTGCGATTTTAGCCAAGTGACAATTCATGAGAATAATGGCAACTTGACCCTTCTACGGGTTCTTTTCCCTTACTATTGACCTAGGACTTGATTCCTTTTTTATATTTCGTGCATTAATGTAATTTTTTTTATGGCTGAACTTTCCATGTAATAAAAAATGGAGGGGTATCTAAAACTTACCATTGAACTTCAAAGTTGTTATTTTTAGCAGATAATGAAGAAGCATTTTTTTATTTTCTCATAGTGACATTTCTAATTCTAACAGCTTTTATCAAATCTTATCCTTTAAAAAATACACTTTTTTTTAGATTCCTAGTATATTTGTTTTTTTTATACTGGTTAGTGCATTTTGTAAGTTTCTTAGTTTCTTCTGTTATTATTTTTTTTTTCTAAATCAGTGTATTTTATTTTATTTTTTACATGAGTTAATTATGGTGTTTTTAACTGATATATGTGTTTCATCGTTGCACAACAGTGCATTCCAGAAGATGGTGACAAGGAGCGTACTTCCTCCTCCATACTGCTTTATTATCTTGAACCTTGTTTTCTTTTGTTTGGTCGGTGCCATAAACTGATGAGTCTTGTGTTGAAGACAATGAGATCAGCTATAACTGAAACTCGTTTTACACCCATATCTGATAATTACACTCAACATACAAGCAACTGCTTGATTAAGGTGGATGTTGTAGCTTCTGTACTTATTGCGATGCACAAGGATAAAAAATTGCGAAAGATTATGGTGAAATTCAAAGAAGATATTGATTACATTATACAGGAAATACATTTGTTACAGGTAGATTAAACTTTGATGAACATTATTGATTGCAGTTTGTGTTTTTAAATGTTACATAACTGCATGAATACTTACTGATTTGCAACGTATTTAATTTTTCTTAAATCATAATAACCTTATATATTGGTTTTCTTTGTTTTTTGCAGTCATCCAGGGATTCCGGTATGACCGTCGAAGAAAAGCATAAATTACACTGTACATGTGAACAACTGAAAATATTGAAATAACAAAGATGTTTTGGGATGAGAAACTGTAACATTATTTATGTGTCACAATATCCTATCTCTTTGTTTTAGGGATAGATGTTACGCACAATGTTACGATCACATCTTAACCGTTGATTTGTGTCAATTAACGGTTATCATTTGTTGCGAATTAATAATTAATTAATGAGTTTGATTTGAAAAATTATAACCGTTGATTGGCGAAAATCAACGGTTAAGATGTGGTCGTAACATTGTGCGTAACATTATTTGTGTGTCACAATATCCTATCCCTTTGTTTTATCATTTATTAAAACTTAATGTTTGGTTGGTTGATATTCTTTAGGAGAAATTACATAATACCACCTTTTACTTACATACTTTTTCATAAAGCCACCCTGTACTTTCAATTAAAACAATTATCCATTTTATACTATAACATTGAATCAATTAAACATATTCATTAATTTTAAGACATAATTAACCATGTGCTCAATCATATCATCCATAACTTCTTAGCCTCGCTCATCAATCACCATTTTTCAATGTCTGTCCATCCATTGTTAAATGAAAAAAAATGGTAATCACTGTCAGAAAGACTGAAAGGGAACGATGATTGAATACAAGTCTCCAAGTCATTTCAGATGCTTCATTTCTACTGTAAAACCTTTCTTATATTATAGAGTAGAGATTTGGAACATCTTTGCCACAATTCAATAATGTAGCTTTGATTTAGGTTTTTTATCAAGCATTTTGCAGACAATTAAATGAATAGACAAACTTAGAGACAAGAGATTACAAAACTCGTAGCAAATGGTGAAAGTTTTTTAATCAAAATTCGAAATGTGATTCTTTCCTTTGAAACAACCTTCACATTAATGGATGCATCAGTGAGATTCACACAGAAGAAGATTGACGCAGAAGCAAAAATATAGATTAACAAATAGATTCCAATGTCATTATACAAATTTGGGCTGATTCTTTTTCTTTTATATCAACTTTAAGTCAATTTTTTTTCTGGAAGCATGCAACTTAGTTATGGCATACCAAAACTTAGTGATTCTCATAATCACAATTTTGAAGCACATACAAAACGAGAACAAAAAATAAAAGGTAGAATCTTGTTATCAACCAATTAAAAACAAAGAATGTTTATAGTTGCACCAGCATACTAGATTTGCAATATGCTTTTATGCATATATCAACTCCCTCTGTTTTTGCCTATTGAAGACTTTTCATTTTTTAGTCTCAGAAGCAGTTCAATAGCTTAATTTCGCAGATACTAACTTTCAATTTCAATCATCGTTCCCTTTCTGTCTTTACGATGGCGATCACCATTTTTTTTTTAATTTAAGTTTGGATGGACAGACATTGAAAAAATGGTGGTTGTTGAGTGACAGACATTGAAAAAATGGTGGTTGTTGAGGGAGGCTGAGCAATTAGGGGGTGAGTGATTGAGCACAAGGTTAATTTTGTCTTAAAATGAATAAATTTATTTAATTGATTCAATATTAAAGTGTAAGGTGGGTAATTGTTTTAATTGAAAGTAGAGGGTGGTTTTTTGAAAAAGTATCTAAGTAGAAGGTGGTATTATGTAATTTGCCCTATTCTTTATTCTAATATCATATTAATTGTAGTATCATATTACCTCTTTTACCTTCTGGTTTCGTGAATTGAAAAATAAAATAAAATAATTAAGCCAAAAATATTTTATTTTCTGAAAAAAGTTCTCCCTACTCGTAAAGTACAATTATTTTATTTTCATGTAAGTATGTGATTTTCTTAATTAAATCATGCTATTTTCATCCAATGAGTGTAACTCAATTAGCAACACAAGCTGAGTAGGTGATGAGAGAATTTTGATTCAATTTTCACTAAGTACATCTTTGGAGAATAAGTCCCGACTCAAGATTAGTTCTATAATTGACTCAAATAGTTGAAATACTCGGGAGTTGAATCATCTCACTACGGAAGAACTTCTCAAGGGTGAGGGTAATTTTATCATTACATAGGCCAACAAAATGGCTTAAGTTTACTTACCACCTTAATTTAATTTACCTTTTTGTTCTTGATTTTGACATGAATACGTGAATAAAATTAGTGAATGTACAACATCCATGCTTAGAGATGGATTTTGTGGACTAAGATCATAAGTGAGATAATGCAAGAGATAATTTCTAACCACAATCCACAATTGAGGAGAGATGAAATTGTCTCTTGCATTATCTCGTAAATGCACTAATGATCTTGGTACATATGATCCACCTCTAAGCATGGTTGTTTGCATTCACTAATTCTATTCTCCTATTCATAAGTCAAAATCAAGAATAAAAAGGAAAAGTAAATTAAGGCGATAAGTAAACTTAAACCATTTTGTTGGCCTATGCAATGATAAAATTAGTCTCATCCTAAAAAATTCTTCCATAGACTTTTACATGTAATATAACTTATATAGATTAAGCTAATAAATAACAATTTATATTATGCTTAAACAGAAAGAACCCTTCAACTATAAATCTATTACAAAAACTCTCACGTGACTCAAAACTTTGTAAATTTTTTTTTTTGGTAAACGACAGTTAAGGCCCAAACAAAAAGGAAAAAAAAAATTAATTAACAAATACCAATGACTTGCTCCCCCCTACAGAGGCAAGATCAGCCTGATATAACAATAGTATACCACTCAGAGATTCCACAAATACCATCTAGTCCGCAAGATCATTGACATTAAGAATGTAGTTTGCCAACCAATTTGTGCACATATTTCCTTCTCTGTATGTATGTTGCAAATGAACCTGCCAATTTTTTCTAATCCATGTCTACATACGAGCAACAAGTTGAAGCTCACGGACTGTTTCACTATCCGAAGTGAGCACAATAATCGCACTTGAAGAATCACTTTCTATGATAACATTATTAAAGTCTTCGTTCTAAGCCAACTCCAACCCACGAAAAATGCTTCATAATTCATCAAATGTCGCATATTATTTTCTTTAGGAAGGTTTTTTTTTTTTTTTTTTTTTTTCACATTCGCGGCAAATTAAATTCACTACTTTGTAAATTTAGTAATTTCGTGAAATCTAGTTACTAAAATTTAATAAGATACTTTACGAAATTAAACTATAACTAAAGGGAATTATATATATTTTATCCTTTATAATAATTGTAAATATTCCTCGTAAGACAATAAATCAAAAATCGAAATTCCATTCTTGGCAGCAAGATTCTTTGTGGTCGATTTGAGAATATGTATTTAAATCACCTTTTTTTTTATCTTTTTTTCTTTATTCGTTTGTTATATATAGAGCACAATATAATATTCTTGAAGTTTTATACCAGAAAATATATTTACGTAACACACAAGAAAACTTTGTTTTTAATGAACTATTCCAAATATGGAATTCATTTTAATAAAATATTTATTCCAAAATTAATTTATAGTATCTAATATGATCACTTAGGAATAATTTCCTAACTTATTTATTTTTCCCAATTTATTTTCTTATTAAATTAGAATTTGAAATCTACTTTTAGAATAGATAGGAATTAACGCTTTATAGTTTGTATCACATCATAACACATAAAATCAATACCAATTTCATGTTATTCGGTCTTTATTATCTCTTATATTCCTTCCCTACCTAAATCTCTATAATTTCAACACACATTGACATAGACTTACATGAAAAATACAGAAGAGGATAAACAGAAAGCAGAAATTAACTAACTTCTGTATAAGAAGAGATGAGTGTGATATCAATCTAGGATTGTTTAACATGTACATGAGACTGAGAAGCACCAATTGTAAACAACATCAAGGAGTAATGTTTCCCTGTCTTGCCTTAAGGACAAGCTCTTCAGTGGTGGTGCCAATGATCTCGTTAGCCCGTTTCAGCCCAACACATTGATACCGACCAATAGAATCCTGAATTCAAAGGTCAGCTTACAGTCAACACAAAAATCAAAATCTCTTCAGAGCAAAAATTTCTTAGGGTCACAATAATAAAAAATAATCTCCTAGCAATCATAGCAGCATACCATTTCATCAACCTTAAGAGTTTTACACTAGTTGACAAAATCTAGTAGCTACAACTTAAGATACTAACACAAAGCAAACAAAATAATAATAATAATCCATAGGTTTCAATTTTCCTTGATGTTCTCATTCAGTCTAGAAATATATTAAAATCTCTAAAATGAAATTGATGCGATAAAAGATAAATACAATGACTCATCTCTAATTGGCAAACATGGCTCAAACAATTAATATTTCTTCAAATATTTCCAAAATAAAAATTACCAAATTCAACAATAGCACATTTAACACAAATTTAGACAACAAAGATTCATCTATACTACTATAAAGGAAACACCACACATGATCTTTCCTATTTGCTTATAAGAAATTTCCAACTGCTATTAGCACACTCATTTAACCTTTAAAGATTTGCAACCATTCACTTTAAAATGTAGAGAGATAAAAAGAAGTGGAAATAACAAAAACAAAGTTACATAAAAAAGGAACCCAAGTTTTCCATTGAAGAGATGCAATATTAAATACTTCAATTAGAACGAGAGAATTTTGGGAAATCTCACCCGAGTAACAATTCCCAATTTCTCCAACTGCATCATCCACATCAAAATTACATTCCTCCCCAAACTCCTCTTTAATTAGTTCCTCACACCATTGATCGAGATCCTGATTCACATTATCAGATAGATAACATAAGGACTTGAGTAACACTACAAGAAACCTTGTTTCCATAAGTATAAAATAGAATTTCAAAATAAAAAAGGTGGAGAAGAGAACAGAAAACAAGATTTCTATAAACCTATATTGATGTAGATACCTGTCTTGTAGCTTTGCCCTGTTCCATCAGAATAAAGAATGAAACTATTACCTCTTTGACCTACAAATTTAAAGAATTTCAGATTAGTAACCTTCAGATTAAATGTTTGACAGTGCAAAGTTACATAACGAAAAATCAAAAGCAAGCGACTCAAATTAAAGGCTAGTAGTAGCAACTAACAAATGATCTTCCAGCAATCTAATCACTCAATTCTTAGTTTTGAAGGTTACACGCTTGCCAATACACTAGACTATCACATACAAAGTAACATAAATTCTAAGTCCTTTAAATCACAACTGAATGATGTTTTCACACTACCACCAGTCCCACTAGATGAAAATTTCATACCAGCAAAACCAGAACACAAGTACAGCCAACCAAAACAGAACCAAACACTGAAACAGAGCACAATAAGCAAAAGCAAACCAATAACCACCCACCCAGATCAAAACAGTAACAGATTGAAGGAGAAAGAGTTCAGCCACAACCCAGATTAGCCACAGTCAAACC